GGAAGTCTTTGCTAATTTAAAAACAGAATTAAAACAGACCAGAATGAGATGGCAATATTTGCCTCATAGACGAGCAAAATCAAGTGCAATTTAACAGCAAGTGCTGGGTGACACTTAGGTGATCCTGTTCTCTAGAGGGATGATGATAGATCGATCAGTTTTAGAAGAGTTGTTTCTCAAAATCTTTTCAATTTTCATATGTGCATATATTTTGGTTTAACAATCCAAGAATATATCCTAGAGAAATTGGAGCATGAGTGGAAAAGATTTCTTACACGGGAATTCATGGTCTCATTATTGATAACAAATAATAGAGTCTCAATATCCAGCTATTATAAGATGGCTAAATAATGCATCTGTATGCATTGATACAGTGAAATGCTAGGCAGATATTGGTGTTGTTTAATGAGCTAGACCTGGGTGTTTTACCCCCAAAAGAATACCAAGTCTTGGCGCTGGAGTGATAGTACAGCAGATAGGGTGTTTGCCTTGCACGCGGCCAACCCGAGTTCGATCCCCAGCATCCCTTATGGTCCCCTGAGCACCACCAGGGGTAATTCCTGAGTGCAGAGCCAGGAACAACCCCTGTGCATTGCCGGTGTGGCCCAAAAAACAAACAAACAAAAAAGTCTTGTTTTGTGAGGAAAGAGCAGGAGGTTATGATATGTAGGGTATATCAGCACAATTCTGTGTCCTGCTGACTAATAAAAGCTCCTGTGTGTGAATAGATATAAGTTGGTGTCTCGGGTGCACTTAGGGAACAGTTGGGAAGAGCAGGCAACGGTGGGACTGAGAGGGGAATGGAAGGGCAAGGAGAAAGAAGCATCCATGGATGCTCGTGGTGAGAATGCTGATGGGGACAGAAACATAGCGGTGGCTGAGTGCAAGCTATGGATGTTGGAGACTGTGGAGATGGCATAACATTTGCTCGCCAGGCAAAGGGGAGAGGACCAGGGCACGCTGGGCACCGCGGTATGTCTGGACTTTTCCTATCTGGGTGAGAAAATTTTAAGTCTTATTTATTTGCTTAAGAAAGGGAGCAAATGGACCACGAAGGAAGTTGTAGTCGCTGGAAGACTGCATAGTTGGGGTGCGGGCAATGAGAATTAGGATCACAGCTGAGTGCTCCTGTCTCCCAGGGCTGTGGAGGGTGAAGGCAGTTGGCAGGGAGGCTTTCTCAGAGCACCACACAGATGGCCGCTATGGAGACAAGCACGGCTGAGTACACGGTGTATGGGTGCAGATGGGTGGGGTTGGAAGTGGAGAAAGCTGGGAGCCGTGGTGAACAGCCGCTCGAGAAGGCTTTGGGAGCTAAAAATGTGAGGGAAACTCTTGGGAAAGGTATTGGAAGGGAAGGACAGGAAGGAAAACGAGGAATACATGTGGCAGGGAAAGCTCAGGTTCCAGTGTTCATGGTTTGTGATGACGGGAGTTCAGGCATCCCACAGCGCAGATAACCTAATCCCAGGAGTGGGTCAGAATTAGATGCTTAGGGAATTTGTTGCACAAAAAAAAAAAAAAAAAAAAAAGGACTCAGTCCAGGGTACAGATGGGGCAAGAGAGCCAGAGAGTATAAAGACCTGGATGTTATAATAGTAAGGATTTTTTTTTTAATTGCTTTGAAAAAAAAAAAAACGAGAGCGATTTACCCTGGGAAGTAAGACAAGAAAGGAAATGTGATGGATAAAGACCAGTTGGAGTCCTAAGGTGGCTTGTAGTTCTGTGCCGAGGCGTTGATAATGCCTGCGGGGGTCTCTGTAGATTCAGTCCCATCAGGGAAGGAGTGATTGAGTCTTGTTCATCGATTCATCTCCAGCATGCAGGGCAGTGCCCAGTTCAGTGCAGGCACTGCCAATGTCCACCCACCCAGTGGACAGTGCAGGAGAACACGACAGTCCTGATACTGGAGCACGTGGGCATCTGTAAGGTCACTCGGCTGCTCATTCACGCCAGTCTTAAAGCAACTGAAGAGAGCTGGAAAGATAGTACAGGGTTAAGGTGGCACTTAGCTTGCGTGCAGCCAACCCCAGTTTGGTTCCCCAACACCACATGCACCACTAGATGTGACTCAAAAAGCCACAAAAGAAAAATTAATTGCAGAATGCTGGTTAACAGGAAGTTGAGACCCTAATGGACTTCTCAGGGATCATGGGGGGATGGGGGGGTAGAACCTGGTTGCAGTTGCTGAAATTAACTATGGTGGTAGGAGTAACAAAATTCAGCCAGGGAGCTAGTTGACCTAATCCACCTGCACCAGAGTAATTTGGAGATTAGCTGAGATTTATATTTGGAGGCTCTGTCCAGCACCTGTGGGATTGTTCTCTGGCAGAGAACCCGGGTGGGAGAAGGTATTTTTGTAAATGGGGAATGTACATAGTGGTGCTGGGAGGGTTGGGGGACAGTTGCCCTGAGTGCTCGGCCCAAGGGTGCTCTTGGTCCATCAGAGCTACACCTGGATGCTGGGGGCACGCAGTTCTGGGGATGGAACTTGGGTCCTCTCGAACTCTGGGCATGTGTCCTTCCCACTGGAGCTCCTGCCCAGCCCAAGAGACTGTAGCTCGTTGGCTGCACTCAGGCCCTGTGCGTGGAGAGTCGGAGGTGGAGCTCTCAGGGTTGCCCTTGAGTGGGAAGCAAATACAAACAAGTTGTTGGCTTACTTCTTCTGCTCCCTGCCATGAGAGTACAAAGCCGTAGGAAGGAAGATGCCCCCCCCCCAATGTCCTTTGAAGAATTTTTTTTTAAGGGGGGGAGGCTTCATGAGGAAGTCTGTCTCAACTGAATCGAAGTAAAAAGTGTGTGATGGAAAATGTCTATTTCTGAAAGGCCCACATGGAGTCCTACTATAATTATCAGAAGACGTGGTTCAATCTGCTCTGTTACCGAAGAGTCAAGTTAGGATTTAGTATCCAGGGGCTGGGGAGATAACGCAAAGGGCTGGAGCACTTGCCTTGCAGGCACTGAGCTCTGAACTCTTCCTTGGTAGCTTATGTTTTCCCTAACACTGCTGGGTACGGGATGGGATCCGAGTGCTGAGCCATTTGACCTATACAATAAGGCCAAATGTCACTGGGTGTGACCCCAGGCCCCCTGAGCACTGAAAAAAAAAATTGATATCACTTGCCATTCTGTAAGTGAAAATGGTATGGGCTACCAATATACATATTTCAAAACTGAGTCAGCCTTTCTGTATGGAGCTGTTGTGATGGTTTGTTGTTATGATTAATCGTTCTCACAGTTTACACTCACTTTTGAGTACTTTTCCCCAACTGTACCACATCACCTTCAAGTTTGAATATGTATCAACAGGCATATGGAGGACTTTCTCCTGGTGGTGTTCTAGAAGGATATCCTTGGCCTGGAGTCACATGGAGAGCTTCAGAATTAGAAAGACTGATAGTGAGGACCACAAGACCAGAAGAGGAAGAGATTGTCAGGGATGCCCCAGGGGCTGGGTGCTTGCTAGCAAAAGAGGGTCCAAGGTGATGACAGGCAGCGGGTGCGGATGTGTGCTTGAGGGGAGCCTGGCCTCGCAGGGACTGAGCTGGGCTGCAGGGGGCTGAGGGGCTGAAGTGGCTGTCAGGGTTTTGAACAGTAAATGGTTGTGCTAGACGCTTTGTTCCTTCAGTGTGATTGTCTCAGTGGTGGTGGTGAGGCGACTTTTCCCGGTCATCCTGGAGGCCGTGCTGGAGCCCATTAGCCCCAGTCAGTTACTTGAATGTGTTCGTCCAACTCCACAATCTGAATTTCCACAGTTTCATTGTACACAGTTGTATTGTTAACCAGCACTGAATAACTCGAAGACTGTGTTCTCTCCAGTTACTTAAAATTCAGCAGTGTCTTCTGCGGTCCTCCTAACTGTTCTACATCTCTCAGTATTTCTTTCCCAACTCAAAAACAAATGCTTTTTCAATTGCTGTTTCTGGAACGAGTTTCGTCGAGCTGCCTGCCTTGCTGGGGACTCCGGTGGCCCCGGTACCTTTCTGCAGATCCACTCCCCACCCACCACTGCTCATTCCCAAGGGCTTGGGGCTGGGTCTACAGTACAGTGTACCACTCCCTTCGCGTAGACTGTGGACTTCTAGTGACACGAGTGATACAGTCTGTAAAGGCTAATGTCTTTGACCATCATGTGAGTTGAGCAAGGCCCTTTTGTGCTGAGTCTTTTTAGCTGTCCACTGGGGTGAAGATACCACCTAGCATCAAAGGAAAACAGCATCCTTCCCAGATTTCCAGTCTTGCGAAGAAGCCATCTAATTTTTGGTAGCCTTTCGTTCTGTGCCTTTTTTGGCTTGACTGGGATTTAATGTTCTCACTTTTTTATTCTTTTTCTCCCTATTTCTTTTACCTTTAAAAAGAAAAATGTGATGAATATAGTAACACCGATCAAACTCACCTGAGGCCACTCAGATTCAATGAAGTTTGATGATCCTTTATTACAAGTACTGGAAAAATAATTGTTTCTGTTTAACCAGGAATAATAGTATTTATTTTTTAACTTCTCTTGTTCTCAACAGAAGAGATACCTTCTGTTGCTACCATAGAATAGTTGAACATGAAAAATAGCCATGACTCAGTTGTCTTAAAACATTCAAAGATAAAGTTAGATATGAAACATGATCTCCAGAAGTGAAATCTGGGATTGATCCTTTGACACAAGGACCTGGGGTGATGTTCTCAGTATGTGTGTGTGAGGGTTGGGGTGGGGGGGGATGGTCAAAGGTCAAGGACAAATTCAGTTTCTCTCTGTGCCTGGTGGGGGTTTGGGGAGGCAGCTGTGAGGGCCATGCCTGCAGATGAAGAGCTGAAGCTGGACCGGGAAAATCTTCAAAGGCACCGCATCCTCCCCCTGCAAACCAGAACCCATTTCATTGCAAGCACTCTCAGAGTGGTCCTTGTTTTCATTCAGCCCTTGACAACCTGTGCATCTTTCCCATGAAAAAGGATGCATGTTCACAAAATAGTGCCTGGCCTGACTCTTCTACTTTTCTTTTGTGTTCTAGATTTTCTATACTAGCAAGGATGGTACCAAGATTCCCATGTTCATTGTGCATAAAAAGGGCATAAAATTGGATGGCTCTCACCCTGCTTTTCTCTACGGCTACGGGGGCTTCAACATTTCCATCACTCCCAACTACAGGTGAGCACGGACAGCCTTGGGACTGGAGGGCCTTTCTGAACTTCTCCTGCCACTGCAGTGAAACCAGAGGCTGGCTGACTCCATGATGTTTTCTCACTCATTTAACTATTGTTGGCTGTTTCTGTGGCGGGTTAGGATTATGCGTTAGCTCTGTGCAGGCTCAGTTGGGGGTATGAGGATCGTTTCTAGTTGATCTCATGTTCTCAGTGGAGTAGGTTTTTTGAGTACCCAGTGCTGAGGCTGCCAGGCCCCAGGGGGTCAGTTCAAGTGTGGAGAAAAGGAAGCTTCACTGTCCGCTGTTAGTTTGTTATGTGCTGCCAACCCCCTGCCCATAGTATTGTCTGCAGAGAGAAGGTCACTTGTAGATTATGTTTCTCAGCAGCCTAGAGTCTAAAAGTAGCGTCCTAACTCTCAGCCAGAAATGGACTTTTTATATACAACCTTATTATGGTTATGAGTTTGGTTTGGGCGTCACGCCCAGCTCTGCTGAGACAACACTCCTGGTGGGCTCAGGGGACCATATGAGATGCTAGGAATGGAACCTGGATTGGCCCTGTGCAAGGCAAGCACTCTGCCCGCTATACTGTCTCTTCGGCTCCCTACAGTCTTACTTCATTTTAAACTGTTGTATGTGATTAGTCCCAGCTAATTTTTAGGGCTGGAGCAATAGCACAGCAGGTAGGGCGTTTGCCTTGCATGCGACCGACATGGGTTCGGTTCGATTCCTCTGTCCCTCTTGGAGAGCCTGGCAAGCTACCAAGAATATCCCACCCACACGGTAGAGCCTGGCAAGCTCCCCGTGGCATATTTGGTATGCCAAAAACAGTAACAACAAGTCTCCCAATGGAGACATTACTGGTGCCCGCTTGAAATCGATGAGGAGGACAGTGCTACAGTGTTAATTTTTGTTCAGGAACAGAAATTCACACTTATCCTATAGCTGCTTTTTACAGAAAGATTATCTTCTGTCAGTTATTAATGTCAGTGAGTGAAAGTAGGATTTGCCTTGAGAATTGTTGATTAAAACAGAATCTCGGGCTACAGTACCAGCTTACAACCCTTGCCTGAGCAGAGCCATCCCCCGTGCTGTCTGCTCCCAGCTTCACGCGTGCACTTTCTCATTATGGAAGAAATGGATGTGTCCCCAGGGAATCAACTGAGAGGGGAGTGGACCAGCCATCCCACATTTGATCCCAGAAGACTGTCACTTGGCTTTAACGTCTGTAGAGAGCTCAGCTAATTGTTCAAGACTTGCCAGAGTATTTACCAGGGCCCCTGCCATCAGCTGTAGAACCAAATTCTCTGACCTGCCTTGAAAATCTGGCAAGGGTTTGATTTCACCTCTGGTTGGTAAGAAACCTCGGTGCTTGTGGAATCATTGCGTAGGACAGTATTCTCAGAAGATTGATGGAGTGTTCCTGTAGGACGGTGAAGAGAAGGCAGTGAGGAGAGCATGGGGCCCGTGGCTCATAGGCCACATGGCAGCAGTGCTCTGGGCTTCCTGTTGCCCCTGCCCTATGGGACACTGGTCCATACCGAGCCCGAAGGGTTCTTTCTCCTTGGCGTCCCAGCACCTCCGACAAGATTCCCCAGCAGGAGAGGGACGCCCTTCCTGGCGGGTTTGAGGCTGCGGTGTGGCCTCTCTGTCCATTGAGTCTCTGATTAAAGTCTACTGGTTCATCAAACTCCCCAAAGCCCTCAGAGCAAACCATGGACGATGTCCTCGTTTGTACCTTTTACTGCTCACAGTGATGAAGTGCAAGCTGCAGCTTCATGCAGTGAATTGGTCAGACTCACATGCTGTTCTCTCCTGCCTTCAGCCCCCCAGGGACCAAGGGGCCGACCACAGTGATTCCTGGGGGCTCCACTGTAGTTTATAAGCCCCCTTTCTTCCATCTATGCAGCCAGCAAACCTACCCTGCTGGACATCCAGAGATGTGTAAGGGAGAATCCCGCTACCATTTTTATCCTTAGAATCCAGTAGATAGATGCACTTCTAGTTTCAAAGGAGACTTGTCAGAGGTGCAGGCAAATGTTGGAGGCCAAGGGATTAACCATGGTCACAGACAGCCTGACGCATCTCTCCCTTCGTCTTCATTCGTTGGAAATTAGCTCTAGCATGGTCTGTGCCGCAACCATGCTAGAGCTAATTTAAGAGATCTGTGCTCTTTCAAGTTGCAGAAGCCCCAGTTAAAGGGGGAAATGATTTTTTTTTAAAAAAAAGTCCTCATTTTCCTAAAAGCTTTTTTTTTTTTTAACTTTTATGGAGCGATAGCACAGCGGGTAGGGCGTTCGCCTTACAAGCGGCCAACATGGCCGACCCGAGTTCGATTCCTCCGCCCCTCTCGGAGAGCCCGGCAAGCTACCGAGAGTATTCGATATGCCAGACACAATAACAACAAAGTCTCCAATGGAGACGTTACTGGGCCCGCTCGAGCAAATCGATGATCAACGGGAGGGCCTTTAGATTTTTAGATTTAGATTTATTTCTAGAAAACTTTCCCTAGCCCCAAGCACTCATTTTTTAGTTCCTGGTTCTGTGACCCTGACCCCCACCTCTCTTTCTCTATTATCCAGTGTAACATCCAAATGTCTTTTTTAATTTAAAAAAAAAAAAACCCTGGAAAACCTATTCAGAATCTGTTTGGAAGTGTGTAGGGTGCCTTGTGGTTTTTCCCACTTGAATAATTAATTAAGAGTGACTGGACTAAAACAGGGGCACATGAGTAGGAGCTGTGCCCAGCTCAGCTCCATTGAGACAAAGGCTGGATCCCGTAGTAGTCATTTGTATGGAAAGTTGTGTAGAAGTGGAATCAGTATTTAATGAGGGTCTCTCCCTTATTCTCCCTCCTCTTCCCCCTCCCCCTTCCTGCCCTTATCCTTCCCTCCCCCTCTCCCTCCCTCTCCTCTTGGATTGTGAATCAGAGTCCTGATTTAGAGAGTACACAATGTACCCATGTCGAAAAACAAGACATACTGAATGCTTAGATTCATCCAGTGTGAGCAAGGCAGATAAATAGCCATCAGAAGTTATTTATTTTTCATTTTAATCAAGTTCTATGAAACTGCTGAGAAGCTCTTCGTTAGCTCCCTGTCCCTGGGGTATTTCTGGGGAGTGGGTGGGTCTCACTTGGTAACGTATTCTGCTCTCTGCTCCCTCCCAGTGTGTCCAGGCTGATTTTCGTGAGACACTTGGGGGGCGTCCTTGCAGTGGCCAACATCAGAGGTGGCGGCGAGTATGGGGAGACGTGGCACAAAGGTAAAGGTTCACGTGGGGCTTTCACGCAAGTATGATGACAAAGTCAGGGTCGGGCTGGAATGCGCCGGGCGGAGGGGATTCGGAACAGAAAAGCACTCAGCTCAACAACAGAAAAGCCAGAAACTTTCCAAACCCATTGCAGGCTGCACACCACCACTAAAAGCACCTAGTCGGGGCTGGAGCGATAGCACAGTGCGTAGGACATTTGCCTTGAACGTGGCCAACCTAGGTTCGATTCCCAGCATCCCATATGATCCCCCCCAAGCACCACCAGGAGTAATTTCTGAGTCCACGAGCCAGGAGTAACCCCTCTGCAATGCCAGGTGTGACCCAAAAAGCAAAAACAAAAGGCACCCCAGTCTTCTCCTGTTTCACTTCGAGTATCTTTACTTTTTTTTTTTAATGAAGCAGACGCATTCACATTCATGTACACTATGATCAGATGTTTCTATAGCAATACATAGGACACTTTATTAGTTATTTGGTTATTGACTTTTGAGCCACACCCAACAGTGCTCAGGGCTTACTCCTAACTCTGCACTTAAGGATCCTCCTGACAGTCTTGGGGGACCAATATGGGATGCCGGGGATTAACCCAGGGCTGCTCGTGCAAGGCAAAGCGCCCAACCCGCTGTGCTGTCTCTCTCCCAGCAGCTTGGGACAAATTTTTATCTTGACAGATGTGAATCTCGATGAGACTTTCTGGCCTCCTGGGTTCGCCCAGCTTTTATTACTGTCTACACTCTTTCGAAATGAAAGTATTTCCGATATCTCCAGTGTGGGGGGTCGTCCCTCTGTTTGTTGTCTCTGCTCTTCTCCAGACCATGGAGAAGTCACACCTTCTAACATTGCCGCTCACTTTCTGCCACGTGCAGGTCTCAGCATAAGGACCCCGTGTTTTCCTTTCCTGGTTTCAGTGCTACAGTCTCCATAGTCTGTTCTGCCCGAAGCCCATCTTGTTGACTGAAGACCCTCTCTGCACTCAGCTTCACGCCCCCCTCTCCCCCCATTTTTCAAGAGCAGTGACCTTTATTTGGAACAGGGTGGGGCCATACCCAGTGGTGCTTGGAGAACCTAACAATGCCAGGGATCGAACCTGGCTCTCCCACATGCATAACCTTTGTAGAAACCCTCTGGGCCAGCTTCCCAGTCCAGCAATCTTTATTTTAATGCCCATCTCGTCCTTTTCTTTATATCTGAAATAGTCGCCTTCCCACCACAGTGTCCCTTGGTTCTGATTCACTGCATCCAGTCAAATTCACAGAGACCCAGAGAGATATGAAAACATATTTTTCACAAAGACCCCTGGGGTTTGGCGCTCGAGTAAAGGCCCCCGGGCATCAGCCCTAGGGTGGACCTCAGACCCTCAGACCGTGCGCTCCGTGAGACTCTTAGCACTCTCCAGCACACGGACCTCAGGCCTGCCTGCCTTGCCCAGCTCCACTGCTTCCACATCATCCGTCCTGAAAATTTAGCAGCCCTCACCATGTTTGCTTTTGTTTTGTTTTGGGCCACACGCCCAGAGATTCTCAGGGGTTACTCCTGGCAGCTCCTGGACCTTATGGGATATCGAGGCCGGCGGCATGAGAAGCAAATGTCCCACCTGCTGTCCTGTCTCTCTGGCCCCAGCCCTGTTTGAATTGCCGATGGAATTCAATGCATCTCTTCTATTTTGTGCTGATGTTAAGAGTTTAATCACATTGCAACCATCCTGTGAGAGTGACTATTTTAAAGATGACTGACAAAAGGAGGATAAGTAACGGCAAAAATCTCTGCATCCGTGGGAGGTTTGCTTGGCATCCCAGATCTGGAGGCTAAATCTAGCCCTGCCTTGATTTACCTGATTCCACATGTGTGAATCAGGTGTGGGGGATGGTGCTCCATCTGCCCTCAGTGCCTGGGCTGCTGCTTCTGTGGCCACCTCCTCAGAGAACTTTCTGCAATTCGCCATGAAACCCTCTCCGGGCTTCAGGGCTCACTCTGTGAGGAAGGAGATCCTTGAGCAGACAGAGGGACCCTCCTCAGCGAATCCATTTATTATCGGGTGGTCTGGGAGGGTGAAGGGCGGGGATGCGGAGTGGGGCTCGACTCAGGCTAAAGCACACTGTGCTCAAACCCACAAGTAGACATTCTCCAGAATCAGGCAGGGAAAGAGCCCGACGTGCATCTTTTTCAGGGAGAGTCCAGCATGTGGGACTCACTGATAAATCTAAATTCCATCCTGTTAATTGGGTTTAAAATTTAATGTTCTTTAGAAAAAAAAAATACAGTTGTCGACCCAAAATGATGGCTTTTCTGGAAACCGAGTAATCCTAGCTGTTCTAATTCTCTACATAATTTCTGATTAAAATCTTAATAACATTTGTTTTGAGACGAGGAGGGGGAATATCCACAGTGGCACTGCTTCAGCCTTAATTGAATTTCTGCAAGAAGTGGTTCATCTTCGCTATCTAATTAGAGCAAGCGGGTCTGCCTAAGATGGAGGGGATAGCAGAGTGTGGGGGTGTGGGGGTGTGGGGGTGGGGGGCAGGTTGCAGGACTGACTGCCCCTCATCACGTGCCCAACCCAGGTTGCTCAGAAATGCGCACGCACATACACGCACGTGTACACACACACACATACACACACACACACACACTCCGCACATGCACATGCACCACCTCACCCTCCCACACACACACACCATCACCACCACACACTTCTTCCTGTTGGTGTGGCTTCCCTGTGCTACAGGCAGAACTCAGGACTGAGCACTGCTCACTCAGGATCTGAGTTTAGACTTGGGTTCAGCTTGCCTGCAGGGAAGCTGTTCTCTTTGCCCACAGGCTCTGGTCCCTCCATTCTCCCTTGTGGTTTTTTCTTTTTTTTCTTTCTTTCTTTTTTTTTTTTTTTTTTTGCTATTTTTGTTTGGTGGCCACAGCCAGCGATGCTCAGAGGTCACTCCTGGCTCTGCATTCAGGAATCACTCCTGGCAGTGCTCAGGGGACCATGTGATTTGCCAGGGATCAAACCCAGGTCAGCTGCGTGCTGCATTGCTCCAGCCCCATTCTCACTCTTGACCACACAGAGCCTGTTCCTGCTGGGCCCTTTGCCTTTGGAAGTTCTAGGAGCTTGGAAGAAGTACACAACCACCGTCTTGATGGGTGATATTGGGACTGATTCTGGGTCTACACACTGAATTCTAAAGTCAGGGTGCTTTCTTGCCTGTCCCCGTAGTCCCTTTGTTTTGAAGTTGGTTGAAGTTGGTCAAAAGCTGGAACTCTGCCCTGTGAGCATTTCAATTCCCCATTAAGGCTAAACTATATCTGTTTGGGTAATGAACTGTCTGTGACTCTGTTGCCTCATAGGTGGGATCTTGGCCAATAAACAAAACTGCTTTGATGACTTCCAGCGAGCTGCTGAGTATCTTATCAAGGAAGGCTACACCTCTCCCAAGAGGCTGACTATTAACGGAGGTTCCAACGGAGGCCTCTTAGTGGGTGAGGACCGCTTCAGTTTTTAATTTTTAATTGCTTTTCCTTCCTAGATGATACTGGGGGCTTTCAGATACGAATTGCAGCACCAGGTGCACTTTGGTTGCTGCAGAGGCATTGGGGGGGGGGGGGGGGTAGGGGTGTCGAATGCAGAGCCCCCAAGGAGAACTGTGTCCTCCTGACTCCTATCACCCTTCTACTACCACACCCTCAGCACCGAGGTCCAGGAACACCAGGACAAGCAAAACTGCGGGAGCTCTCACACCTCCCGGACAATCGAGGCCTGACCTCACCCAGGTTTCTCAGCCTCGTGGCCTGTTCTTACAGAAAAGAATTTCAGGAGAAGAAAAAATAGTGAAGCAAAGGAATTTTATTTTGGTAACCTGAGGGAGGGAGAAAAGGAATACCATTCCAGAACCAACACGGGTTGGGCCAAGAGTTGTGCCAAAGGGTGTGTGATTTAAGGAAAAAGGCAAACAGTATTCTAAAAGCTTCTCAGGGCTATTTGCTTCATTTTGATTTTCACTCATGGACCGTCTCCCTTTTTTCTTTTTTCCGGATTTTAGCCGCTTGTGCAAATCAGCGTCCTGACCTCTTTGGTTGTGTTATCGCTCAAGTCGGAGTAATGGACATGTTGAAGTTCCATAAATACACCATCGGCCACGCCTGGACCACCGACTACGGGTGCTCAGACAGCAAACAACACTTTGAATGGCTGATCAAGTAAGATTTTAATTAGCATGCACTTTTGTCAATAATGGTGGATGTAAGTGTTGAGCAGTCAGAAGGGTGACCGTTCCCCTTAGTGCTTATATTGGCAATCACAGTTTCCCCTCACACAACATGGATCCTTATGTGCCGGGGTTGGTTGGTTGGTTGGTTGGTTGGTTGGTTTTTAAGCCACACCCAGCAGTGCTCAGGGGTTACTCCTCATTCGGCACTCTGGGATCACTCTCGACGGTGCTCGGGGGGAAATATGGGATACTGGGGATCAGATCCAGGTAGGCTGCACCTAAAACAAGTGCTGTGCCCACAGTACTATCTCTCTAGCCCGTCTCTCTCTTTTTTTTCCCCCTCTCCTGTAAACATATAACTGAGGGCCATAGAGTTAGTACAGGAGACAAGGTCATAACCTTGCGTGTAGTGGTTACAGCCCTCGCTCAGATTCCTGACCCCACACATGATCATTTTAGTACCAAGCCAGGAATAATTCAAGCCCCCTACCCCATTCCTATCCTGCCAAAAAATAATAGAATATGCCAGTTGATCTGTGTATATGACCTGTATATATTCTATTTGGGAAATAGAATATACAAATACTTTAAATATATTTTCTGTATCATTTCATTAGTGTTTTTTCTGTACTTATTTAACACATTACAAAAATACATTATTAATCAACAGACTTTGATTATTTGGGTGATTGGGTTTTGTTTGTTTGTTTGCTTGCTTGCTTTTTGGGCCACACCTGACGATGCACAGGGGTTACTCCTGGCTCTGCACTCAGGAATTACTCCTGGAAGTACTCAGGGGACCATATGGGATGCTGGGAATCAAACCTGGGTCGTCCGCGTGCAAGGCAAACGCCCTACTCACTGTGCTATCTCTGGAGCGATAGCACAGCGGTAGGGCAGTTGCCTTGCACATGGCCGGCCCAGCCGAGCCGGGTTCGATTCCTCTGCCCCTCTCGAAGAGCCTGGCAAGCTACCGAGAGTATCTTGCCCAGAAGGCAAAACCTGGCAAGCTACCTGTGACGTATTCAATATGCCAGACACAGTAACAACAAGTATCATAATGGAGACGTTACTGGGCCCACTCGAGCAAATCATGAACAACAGGACAGTGCTACAGTATTATAGTGCAATCAACAGACTAGGAATAGGAACGTTATTCTCAGATTTCCAGTGGAGAGAGGAAGTCAGTGTCCCCCAGCATTCAGAGGTTCACCGGAACTTACCTCAAAGATGCAGAGATAAAAATACCTCCCCTGGGGACTGGAGCAATAGCACAGCAAGTAGGGCGTTTGCCTTGCACGCAGCTGACCTAGGCTCGATTCCCAGCATCCTATATGGTCCCCCGAGCACCGCCAGGAATAATTCCTGAGTGAGTGAACCAGGAGTAACTCCTATGCATCACCGGGGGTGACCCAAAGAGCAAAAACAAAAAACCAAACAAAAAAAAACCCTCCCCTGTCTTCTTCTTGTCTCCATCTGTTTTCTAACTAATAAGAACACTTGCTAGGCCCTGCAGATCCCCACCCCATCCCCAGTTATTCAAACACCCAGGCCCTGCTGACAAGGGACTTGGCTGTGATACCGGGATACTGTGACATGTATGACCCTCAGGTAAAGTAGTTGGGGCCAGAGAGATGATGATAACAGAAGGTAAGACTTACACACAGCCAACTCCAGTTCTGTTGCCAGCAACATGTGTGGTGACCCCAAGCAGTACCAGGAGCGAGCCCTCAATCTTTCAGGTGTGGCTTCAGACAAATTCTCAAAGAACAAGATCCATCTGGATCATGTGAACGGGTTCAGTCTTGTGATGACAGTTGAGGCAGAGCCTTTGTCTAGAGTCAGAGATGCAGCAGAGTTAAAGCCACTGCTGCTCTGATGCGAGAGGGCGAGGGACCTCTAGCACCCCGTCCCAGCCACTTCCTAGAGTTTCCCCATAAGACTTCAACTGAGCCAGCCCAGATTGTGGACTCAAGAGCCGAATGTTCTCTGAAACTGCCAACTTTGTGCTGATTTGTTAACCACTGAACTTAATACATATGAGGCATCTTTTTTATCTCCTAACAGTTCTTTAGGGGTTTCCTCTTCTAAGCAGAGAAGTCGGGAGGAATAGACTAGTAGCTTGTTTTGTGCACAGTCCACCTTCATCAGGCACTTGAGACTACAACCTTGCATTATTGCAATCCTGTGCAAGTCCCCCATTTAATTCCCGAACACCACTTGGGTGATAAGAATGAGGCAGTGGCCAACATTTTCATCAGCATTACCCAAAGGAGTGATACCACACCCTATGGGGTGCTGAGTTACGCCTCCCCCCACCGGAAAGGGTCAGATGAGTTTATGAATCTCTGATGTCAAGATGTCAAGGTGCTTTTTGTTTGTTTTTTTCTCCTTCCTTCCCACATTTGGCATTCTTTCAGCACTGACTAGCCTGGGTTCTTGGCATGCCACGGAAACCTTCCCACTGTTCTAGACATGGGCTGGAACGATAGCACAGCGGGTAGGGCGTTTGCCTTGCACGCCACCAACATGGCCAACCTGAGTTTGATTCCTCCGCCCCTCTCGGAGAGCCCGGCAAGCTACCAAGAGTATCTCGCCCACACAGCAAAGCCTGGCAAGCTCCCCGTGACGTATTTGATATGCCAAACACAGTAACAATTGTCAAAATCGAGGCGTTACTGGGCCCGCTCAAGCAAATCGATGAACAACGGGAGGACAGTGACAGTGACAGTTCTAGACATAGGGGTATTTCGGGTTTTTTGGGGGGAGGTGCTCCAGGGACTCATGCACTCCAGCCTTCTGAGCCATCTCTGGCCCTCATTTCTGTGCTTTTTATGGAGAGTTGGCATAAACTTAGAACTTCTATGTCTGAAAAAAAAAAAAACTTTTAATTAGCTACTAAAGTACTACATTCTGTTTGTGGCATGGGTCATTTCCTTTCAAAAGTACAAATAGCTTCTTTGGTTCTAACTGGTAAAAAGTATAAAGTATTTAAAGTGTGAAGAGTTTAATAGAGGGGCCGGAGCAATAATACAGCAGGTAGGCCGTTTGATTTGCACATGGCTGACCCAGGTTCAATCCCCAGTATTCCATACGGTCCCCCTAGCACCACCAGGAGTAGTTCCTGAGTGTAGAGCCAGGAGTAACCTGAGCAGTTCTGGGTGTGCCCCCCACCCCCTAAAAAGTAGGAAAGAAAAAAATGTCCATATATTTTCTCAATCATTCTCAGTCACTGTTTAAGTGCATGAGTCTTTCTTTTTGTTAGCTTCCTCGGAAGCTTACCTTGAAGTGCGGATGGTGCTGCCTTGACTGACTTCCTCTCTGTTGGCCAGGGCCAGTTTCTTTCTGCTGGACCTTGAAAGCTAGCAGGTGACCAGACCCAGCAAGCAAGCAAGACCCAGGGGGTGGAGGTGGAAAGGAGGGGGATGTGGGAGGGATACTGAGAACATTGGTGGTGGAGAATGGGCACTGGTGGAGGGATGGGTACTTGATTATTGTATGACTGAAGCGTAAGCACGAAAATTTGTAAATCTGTAACTGTATCCCATGATGATTCATTTAAAAAAATAAAAAACTTTAAAATTAAAAAAAAAAAACCCTTTGTCACCTTCCAGGTATTCACCCCTGCATAACGTGAAGCTACCGGACGCAGAGGACGTCCAGTACCCATCCATGCTGCTCCTCACAGCCGACCATGACGACCGCGTGGTCCCCCTTCACTCCCTGAAGTTCATCGCCACCCTTCAGTACATCGTGGGGCGCAGCCGGAAGCAAAGCAACCCCCTGCTGATCCACGTGGACACCAAGGCGGGCCACGGGGCCGGGAAGCCCACAGCCAAAGTCATAGAGGAAGTGTCCGATATGTTTGCGTTCATAGCTCGGTGCCTGAACATCGACTGGATTCCATAAAAGGGATTTTCCCCCGCTGCCCCCTATCACAGCCGCAGAAAACCTCAAGGGCTTTCACACCGTTAAAACCAAGAAACCAACCGGGTTTAAGGTGAACTGGTTCCCCCACCCACCCACGTGAACACTATTCCTGCACTCCGTGGACCGCAGGGGACCAGAACTGCCACCAGAATTTTCTCTTTTCTAGGCTTCTTTTTAGTGAGACCTTGGTGTTTTCTCTTTCTCCACCCCAGGCAGTCACATGTTTAAATAAAGGCATGTTCGGATAAATAGCTAAATGGCAGCCAGTACCTTGTGAATATTATTAGATTGCTGAATTAAGAGTCCTAGTCAGGCATACTCCGTATCTAGCACTTTGGTGAAACTTGCTCCTATAATCATAACCAGTATATCTTTCAATGAACCTGAAAGTTGTCCCATGAAAGACTTCTTTGCAACAATAATAAATGCTATTTAAGAATGGGAGGCTTTATTTCTGGTTACTTTTTTTGTCCCCGGGGCAGATGTGGAAAGAGATTCATCCTGGACCATTTCTCTGGAACTGAGCAGCTCATCTTGCACACAGCTTAGTTCTAAACAGTGAAGTGTGCAGTAGCCCTGGGTGAAGCTGGCCAAGGTGGCTCCTGATTGACATGTGAACCCCCACCCCCATCAGGATATAGCTGATCTGGGCCCAGGGGGTGGGATTGCGTCTTGATGATGGTTCAGAAATGTTGACTGGTTCACCTGTTTCTCTGTCAATTTGCTACGAAGCATTTCTGGAAATTAGAGCTCCTAAGATAGAAAATTTAAGACCTCACTGAACCATCCAGACATCTAATAATCAGAAATCTCAGAAATTCCCCGGCTATTTTCTTAGCTCCCATATATCACTTTCTGGGAAAAGTCATACATTAAAAAAATTTGTTTCCTTCAAACTCTTTGTGTAATTTTAAGGTGAGGATATATCATACCATAAACTTCTGCCTGTGGGAGGAAAAAAATTTTTTTTAAGAATTGGACCACCTAAGACAGTGCTCAGGGCTTACTCCTGCCTCTTACTCAGGGGTCACTCCTGATGGTGATCAGGTGAATATATGTACTGCCAGAAATCAAACCAGCATCAGCCACATACAAGGCAAGTGTCTTAACCGCCACTAATATCCTCCAGCCTTTAAGTTATTTAACATCTCATATATAAACCACTATTCTTTGGGGTTTAAGAAATGCTGATTAAATTTGAGAAGAAAACAGTTTCCTTGTTTCGCTTCATCAGATGTGATTCAAAAAAATAATTGTTTGGTATGAAATATCTTTGTTTCTTTTAATTGAACAAGCTAGTTTTTAATTGAATAAAATTTAGAAAGACGTGAGTGGGGGTAGAAGGAAAGGAATTCCCATATTCAAGGGAGAAAACAGGCTAAAACAGCAAACCTGTAGCATCTTAAAGAATAGCTTACAAGATTACTATTGCCATAGCTTTTACTTTCCTATAGCAAGTCCTATTTTCCAAATCACAAATATTTACTTCCTTTGGAGCTCTCTTTAGCTCTCATTAACTAGCAAACATTTCGATACATTCCAGTTACAGCTGAAAGGCCGGATTTGGGGTCTCTCTTCTAGAGGGGTTTCTAGTACTGTTTGTTTCGATGAGCACTGTATATAATGAGCTGCCAGTGAGCCTGAGAGCCACTCGAACACACTGGAGAAAAGTAAGCCAGCAGTGAACGCAGAGAGTGACACCACATCAACCCAGAGAAACACTAACATTAGCCCACTGCCATTGAACTGCTAATGACCCTGGCTGAAAGTAGATGAAATGCATTTGCACAAACCAACCCAGGGGCTGAGTTTTCCTGGATCAGCTGGATTATTTGAGGTGTAGACAACTGAGTTGTTAACTCATTCAATCTGGAGCATTTTCAAGTTTGTAGAGAATCTAGCCCTACTGTATTACCTCAAGGGCCTCCTCCTAAACAGCTGAACGTGGAAGCTGAAGCTTCTCAGTTTCCAGAGAAGTCAGGCCCAGGTTCAAAGCCTTAACTCAGTTTGTAATTAGTGATTATAAGGAATGAACAAAATGATACATTTATAAGGGCCAGGCACATAATTAGCCTCCAATTACAAGGTCCATTTCCAGGGATAATTTCTTTCTAGTTTTGGGCTGGCTGGCTGATCCCACAAACTGAAAGTATTTTTACTAAGCCTTAATCTTTGGAAGGTGAGGTGGGGCTCCTTCCTAAATCTTGGGGAGCCTTCCCTGCAAGGTGCCACTCCCCCCACTCCCCACCACCCCAACCCACCCCCTGTATCCCAAGAGCTGCACCCACTGCTCAGACTTGCATGCATAGGATGACTGCCACAACTGTTACACAGCTGTTTGAGTGTCTCATTATGGGGCCGTGCTACATTTACTATGTTAGGTAAATCCCAGAAGTTTAGTCTCTGCACATCTGGAATATAGTCAGACTTTACAATCTACTGTGTTTCTGGGTAATTTTGCTAAGGTTTCCCAGATACTGATCATTCCAAATTCCAACGAAGCCTAACTCACATTCATTAGACAATTTTATAGCCTCCACACAGCCCACATAACTAGAATGCCTAGAAGAGTTACAAAGACACAAAAGAACAAGTGGGAAAGCTGGGCGGGGCTTTAAAAATAAAGAAAGCAGGGGCTAGAGCAATTGCACAGCTGGTAGGGCGTTTGCCTTGCACACAGCCAACCCGGGTTCGATTCCCAACATCCCATATGGTGCCCCGAGCACTGCCAGGAGTAATTTCTGAGAGCACTGTGCATCGCCGGGTGTGACCCAAAAAGGAGGAAAAAATAAAGCAAAAGTTATACCGGACATAAGAATCTGGAGGCCCAATACCAGTGAATAAGGCCACTTGGCAACACTGTGTATGCCTTCATGTTCTGAGTTGGGATGAGAGAGAGGGGGTGTTCATCCTGCCCCTAAGAATTAACCAAATTAACTCTCCTTTCTGGGGAGGAAGCAGATGATATATTACGCTGCAGCACTGCAAAGTATTTAGCATGTGGACATGTTCATCGTCAGGCCAAACTTTACAAACCCTGCATGAATCTTGTCTTGTGGCAAATGCCTGAACTTCCCTGGCCAGGAGCTGGGCAGGAACTGAACCTTGGAAGCTTTACACTTGCCCCATTAGTCTTGTAACAAGTTAATAAATAGGCTTGGTTCGAGAGAATCATGGAAGCTTCTGAACTCTTGTCCTTGGAGTGACACTGGCCCAGTGAGATGCAACACACCAAAGTGGGTAGATGTGGGCTCAGGCATATCTCACAGTCGACCCCATTCTGGACACAGTCACCCACAATCAGGAGGAAACTAGGAGCTTCTCCCTGAGTAGTGACGGGTAGGTGCCCATTTGGCACCCCAGCTTTGAAGACCTGTGCCTGAGAGATGAGTTGCCAAGATAGCTAGCTACCTTTGAATGAGAAGGGGTTTGTGTTCGTAAGATCCACAAAGTTTTAAGTAATGAGAAACAGGTTTTTTTCTGGGCTCAGTCAGCCCAATTGAAAGGTCCCTGGTGGTTGTGAAAGGCAATTTTGCTTATCAGCATCGGCTGAGGGGCAGACTTCCAAATGAACACATTTTTAGAGGCTTAAACATGCTCTCCAAAGACCACACGGGCTGTAGGAGCCCTGTCCCATCTCCTGCCTCAGTCTGGATCACCAGCATCTCCCAAGAAGGAGCCTTTGTACACAGCCGGTGTGAGAAACTTTTCACAGCTATAGTGAAAGCTCACTTGTCTCACCCTGATGGTGGAAGTTCCTAAACCCCATTAAAGGAGAATCCCTCTCACTTCTCCCCTCTCCCTCTCCCTCCTCCCTACCCACTGTACTATGTCTCCAATCTGAGAAACTGTTTGCAGTTTCCTCCCTGCCTAGGATTCCACACAGACCCCAAGCTGTGCCTGCACAGGATTTCTCTGACCGAAGTCTGTTATTTATTTTATGTTCAAAGTTACAGCCTCAGGAAAAGATTTCTGAATTTTTTTGTAAGTTAAAATGAAAGGATGCAAGCTGGAGAGATCATGCAGCCGACCCAGGTTCAGTCCCCGGCATCCCATGTGGTCCCCCAAGCACCGCCAGGACTGATTCCTGAATGCAGAGCCAGGAGTAGCTTATCCTGAGCTCCACTGGGTGTGACCCAAATAACAAACAAAAATAAGAGGGAGCTAATAAGCTATGTGAAAACATGTGAAAGTGTAAAATCTTTATATATTTTTTCTATTCTTTAACATATAGAAAATTTAAAAACATATAATTATAGTGAGTTAATTGCTTACAAAGTTAGTATAAAAGTTAAAAGACAAAAAATGATAATAGATGCTAAGATGAAAATATGGATTAAAATGCAGTGCTGGAGGGGGGAATAAAATTGAAAAGCTTCAGAATATAATTGAGAAAAGCTGACACAGTAAACTGACCACACAGACACACCTGTGTCTCTTTTGCTCGTAAGAGGAACAACTGCTTGGGATGACACATCGAGAGAATCCTTCCGCATCTCAGAAAGGCTGGAGCACCTAAACAACAGAGCAAAGATTGCAGGGTTGGAAGGATAGCACCTGGGTAAGGCACTTACCTTGCATGTGGCTGATCCCAGTTCAATCCCTGGCACTGCATCTAGACCCCCAAACACTGCCTGGAGTGATCCCTGAGCAAAGAGCCAGAAGTAAGCTAGAAATAAAGTTGTGTGGCCCCCAAACAAATAGAAACCCTGCAAAACGAGGAATTCAAGTTACTGTGCAAGGAATACAATGGCAAACATCTGTGGGTCAGAGCTGAGTGGAGAGCAGGCAGAGATCTGGGGAAAGAAGGTGGCAGGACTTGTATATTTATGGCAGCACTATTTACAATAGCCAGAATCTGGAAAAAAACCCGAGTGCCCTCTTTACAGTAGCCAGAAACAGGAAGAAACCTGAGTGCCCAAGAACAGATGACTGGTTAAAGAAACTTTGGTACATCTATACAATGGAGTACTATGTAGCTCTTAGAAAAGATGAAGTCATGAAATTTACATACAAGTGGTACAATATGGAAAGTATCATGCTAAGCGAAATGAGTCAGAAAGAGGGATAGACATAGAAAGATTGCATTCATCTGGGGGATATAAAATAACAAAATATGAGATTAATACCCAAGAATAGCTGAGATCAACACCAGGAGGATTACTCCATAGCTTAGAGGCCAGCCGGGTATTCTAAGGGAAATAAATAACAAAATATGAGATTAATACCCAAGAATAGCTGAGATCAACACCAGGAGGATTACTCCATAGCTTAGAGGCCAGCCGGGTATTCTAAGGGAAAGGACAGTTCAGATAGAGAAGGGAGCACCAAATGGAGGGTATTTGGAGGATCCTCCCAGGAGGGGAGATGCAGGTTGAAAGTAGACTGGACTGAACATGTTTGCCACTCAATGCCTCTTTTGCTGAACACAACACCCAAAAG